TTTGGAATGCGACGACAAACATCAACCGAATCAGCGAGCCTGACCAACCGATCAAGTTACTCCTCCTCGTACAACAAGCGCGGATTGCTAAAGACCAGTTTTTTCACTCCAGGATCTTCTTGGGATACCCCTCGTCATTCAACGGTGAATAACATGGTTTGCCATAAACCAACTTTCGTCGCAAGATATTCGCAATCCCTAATGCATAACGTAACCTTACGACGGCCCTACTTTCCCCACTGTTTAGTGATGACAAGTATTTCTCCAAGTAAGCTAATTGTAAATTACTATTTTCTGTCTTCACACACAAAGGTTTTGCAAGCTGCTCAGCCCATTCACATGAAAGGAAACGACACAAACAATATTTTTTTAAGCATGACTTGGGTTAGGTTAGGCTGTCTGCCATTTGTTAGAAGAATCTGCGTTTGCCGGTAAGGTAAACGTGAAGGCTGGTTTACTCTGGTATGTGGAAACAAAGACAATTCAACGGTGGAAACATGCCGAGCGAGTTCCCAACTGCCAAGAAATGACGTTTTCTCAAAGGCCTATTAAAGTCAGTAGGTCGCATAAAACAATTCCGAGTTGTTGTTTTTTGGTTTTCACTTCCACAAAAAAATGGTGGAGGAAGAATTAGGGAAAAACAAATTTACAGTTACCTTCCTTCTCAGATGAACACTGATCTGCGAATTAAATAGAATATACAGTTTTTGGATGCATGGATGTTTGAGCGTGGTTGTTCCAGAAAATCCAGTTTTTAAGAAAGTCTGGCTAACACATTGTTACGGTTAATAATTTCCTATGACAAAAGGTTTAAGAGTCCCGTTTGAACCAGCAAAATAGAACACGGACAAGTCTAAAATGTTCAATAATATATTGAACAAACAATGCGCAAGCTACAATGAATGACAATACAGATTTCTATTACACTGCAATTGAGTCACAAATCTAAAATGTTGGGCCACAAATATAAAATATTAACTCACCAGAGTCTTGACATTTACAGTGAGAACAGTTATACTGATTGAAGGTTGTTTACAATGACAGCAGTTGAATAGGCAAGCACGGCAGTCTTGAAATGTTGAGCAACTCGACGATGGCAGACAGATGTGTATAAATCCAGTCATGTGAAAAGACCGTCGCACAACTCAACAACCAGCTCTTACACAGTTCTCGAACATTCTAGCAAAGCTCGGATGCATCATTATCCACTCAGAACGTTATCGAAAGCTCCACGGCGAGATCCGGAAGTCAAATCAAAATAAAGCCAGCCAAGGGAGGCAACTCTGAAGCGCTATCAAAAAGGCGTGCCGCTACAAATACTATTGCCATTGAACATATATGATACAAGATGCGAGCCAAAACCCACACTCAAAACTTTAAACATTGTGACCCATAATAACTATCACCTATTCAATGTGATATTACAAATTACAAAAAACACACTCTCGTAACAACATGCATGATTTAAAAAGATTGTTTGCGTTCGATTTCCGTCCCAAGACGATCCGGGTGAATGACCTTGTTGACCAAGGTATGACCAAAGCTTGGTTGACCAATGTTAACTCATGTTTAATGATTTACGTCAGGCTCGGCTGACCTAGTTTGACCAGAGACCATATAATAGATTATCCTGAGCTGAATTCGACGTTCTGGTGATTTCGACGATTGCATTGCACGCGCTATATCGGGGGAGTACGTGTGCGATCGGAGTGCACAAACAGTTTCACTGGTAGGGCGGCATTCTCTTCCCACAGAGGTTACTCCTGTCATATCTTCCTACGTAACCTCTGTTCTAATACGGCCCCTTCATGGTGTGAGCGTTCAAGACTCGTGATTGGAGGCAATCAGATTTAGTTGTGCAATCAGCGACGTTGTTTCAAAAGTGATCAATCGCAAGGCCTCGGTAATTTCCGTATACTTCGAGAAAACTAAACCTCTTCCCCTGCGCGATGCGCAAACGTTTCTTCTAGACAGAACTCAGTCATGTTATGGCGGATCAGTGGCGTCTCCATCGCCCTCGTTGACAACGGACAAGCTAGCCATTAAACGTCTTGTGTGTAACATCAACACAAGTCCCCGGCAGATGGGGGATATTTGTGGCCTCACATTTGCTTGTGTTAGTCAAGTTGAATCTAAGTCGATGTAACACGTGTTCTGATTGGATAGAAAGAAGGGAGATAATTCGTGTTGCGATCTTTTGCCGCCAGGGGATTTTACGAGAACCGGGAAATATGGCCGTATTAGAACAGAGGTTCGTAGTAGATATGACAAGTAACCTCTGTGGGAAGAGAATGGTAGGGCGGGTGCCAAGTCGCTGTCGTGATAAGTTTTATTGACAATGGAAATCGGAGAAGTAAAGTTACATAAATATCAAACAAACATCAATATTATTTACCCGAGATCGTTAATACCACTTACGATGCAAAATCAGTTCCCTTTATAACAAAAAATAGCAAGCGAAAATTCAGTTAGACCAGTCGTCTGCTGGTGACAGGCAATATATAAATAGGAAGCCACGTGATCACAACACTCCCTCGCAGTGCGGAGCAAAAAGAATTGCTCATCGTCGAAAACCCATACAAAATACCCGGATGTTACGAGCGGCAACACTTTCGCCGATACGATTTCATCAACGCTATTTTTGTAGGGAACACTTGATATTTTTGTGTGAAATAGATGAATATATCCTTTATCACTCAAGGTTAGTAAAATACAAACTTAAAATGATATTACAGATAAAAAATACGTTTTTGTCTTACATCGTCGAAAACCCCTGACACCGGGATATATTATATGGTCTCCGGTTTGACCATTCCCACTGAACACCTGTGGTGCGGTAATATGGCTGCCAATCTCAACTTGACATCATCGTCGAAATTAATTTGTTTCATACTAACTCAGTCATGAACAAAATATTTTGAATAAACTAGGGATAAAAATATATGTTTTCTGATATATGCGTGAGGGAAATGAAACTTTCTAGTTTTCATTTTCATTCTTTGGAACCGGTAATGCAACTCCGATGCCAATTTGCATCTTTGTATGAAATTCTTAGTGATCTTTTTACCTTTTTTGTTGTTTTACAATTATGTTTGACACCGGAGGTTGGGGCTTTTGGGTAACCTACCGGTCAAGGCGTTCAACAGTTCGACATTAGTACGTGTACATAATGATTTCCGTGCAATGTCGCTGGACGCGAGTATGTCTTGCCGGTCTTGCAGGATACACTCACCCTTTTTCCAGCACCTGGTGTCATCGATATTTGATAGTGATTAAGCAATAAGGCTCATTAAAACCCCGTTAAGAAATCAAACGTAGTTACCACCCTGAAAAACTATCCACTTCCGGTGCCTTCATTCAGAAAGAAACCAAGTCATAGTATGGTAACTACATCGCTCTCAAAATTAGGTGTATGTCATTTACTCTCGAGATATATATATAGCCTACCAAAGACTTTATGGCACTTTCAGTATTGCAGCATCTCTCTCCCTAGGTGTCTACATTTCACAACTATTGTGGCACAGTCGAGCAGAACACCCGGTGTCACCAGTGTTTGGTGGTGAATTCTGTTATTGATATAATCGGGCTCTTACAATGGAGGGGCGGTGGGGTAGCCCAGTGGTTAAAGCGTTCGCTCGTCACGCCGAAGACCCAGGTTTGAATCCCCACATGGGTACAATGTGTGAAGCCCATTTCTGGTGTTCCCCCGCCGTGATGTAGCTGGAATATTGCTAACAGCGGCGTAAAACCAAACTCAGTCAGTCTTACAATGGACTCTCCTTTCAGCAGATTTTCTTGGGAACATGGAACGGGTTTTGACTTTGTATTGTAATCAGATAAAAATCACTCGAGTCGTGAAGCGCACCTGAGCTAAACAGTGATCTTAGCGTCACTCAAGACTTTCATTACATTTCCAATTATTTGTCTATGCAGCTAGCAAGAGGTCAATGGCCTGTATGTCTGTGTTGGTAAACCTGCTGACGTACCGTAATATTATGTTTTTGTGGAAAGAGACCCTGCCATTCAACAGTCATGTTACTGTCAGATTGTGAATAACTGTTTATCCAAATAAACAAAACATCCCTTAGCCACTGAGCATTTCCGAAGCAGATGTAAATAGTGGGAGATCCACATCTACACAGAAGCAGATCCAATTAGAAAAACCAAGGTCAGCCGAGGGGCGCATGTTCCCAACACAACATTTCACGGAGATACACGACTGGTGCCGAATGCTACCTGATTTAGCGGCCTCGGCGGTAGACGAACGCAAACTCTCTAAAAAAATATATATATAGTTTTGATGGAAACAAATAACACCGTTAAGTTCTCCGTGGAAATTCAGAACCAGAACCTAAGTCCATTCTGGACGGCTTTCAGTTCGGTCTGTTCGTTACAAAAAGGGCCAGCCTGAAAAGAATATGGTTCAAGGGCTGTGAGACAGACTACCTCCATGGTGAGGAAGAGCAAAAACACCTCCGCAGGGGGTTGGCGAGTGGTTAGATATACACAGTCGGCTATGAAAATGTTTACGCTGACAATACCCAGCGTAGTACTCTTACAACGTTAACGTAGAACGAGGGAATAAACATTTGGAGTAATGACACTAACTCGCCTCCTCGGATGCAGGCTTTGAAGAGCATCAATCGAGATGAGCAAGCCTCATCACCCTCGCTACTGATATCCTTTGATCGGATGTTTTTATAAGCACTATCTTCCCGGGTTGAAGCACCAAGTTATCAATATAATGTCAGTGTGACCTGTACGCTCATTTGAGACTAGACTGAGATTCTCTGAAATTGTTCGTAACGCAGTAAATTTCCTTGTTTATTAAACAATATTTTGGTTCCCAGAATATATACTATGAACATGCAGTTATGCCCGTCATGGTGTTGGACGACGCGTATCAATTAAGTAGCGAATTTGTAATGTGGGATGGGATTTTCTCCCAACCTCTTATTTAAGTATTCTCGTCAAATATTTTTTTAATCTGTCTGTGAAGTTGTGAAGAATCCGAATCTTTTCATTTTCAGTGCTGGTAGCGCGATGATTGGAAAATTCCAATAGACGATCAGATTCAGTTTTTCTGTTTGTTAGCACCGAGCAATATTCTCTCTATATGACGGCGATTTGTAAATACTCGACCAGACAATGTAAGATTGACAACATGAGCATCTATCTACGCAGTTGTGATACGCCGATATCCTAAACCAAGTCAGCCAGTAAGACCTCGCCTATTACGACAAGTATGAGTTTCTGAAGACCAATTCTAACCCAGAATCTCCTTGGACGACAAACCAACATGTTAACTGGGCCGATCTGCTCTCCTTGTAAGTGTTGAACCATGTTATTGCAGGTATATTAACCTACTCGCTCCCTTTCCTCTTCATAAAGGTAGCTCCAATTTTCACTATTTACAATCAGAACGAACTTGATATTTGGTGGTAACCCAATAACTATGTATTGTACATGCGAAAAATATATACATTTCATGTTCTAGTGAGTAAAATAAGAAGTTCTGATTTACTCGTATATAATAATTGATTTGCGAGATAACCAATTTACGTTTGCTTTATCCCAATTAGGTATTTCGCCTTCGAACCTTGAATATTATTGTCTTTCTTACAGAAAAATGTGTTTAATTTTACTAGTTAAATTGTGTGGTACTTTCGACAAACTATTTCAGCATTTGTTTCACATGTATTTAGATTTAAACTACGGCATTCACTTATTGTCGACAATGTTAGGAATTTTCAGTTTCTGTCTCTATTTCTCTTAACTTCTCTTCACGAACAGGTGACTTTTGAAAGAATGATGTTCGCGTGTTAATTAGTTTCCCATTCTTTGAATAACCAGAACACCTCTGTTAATCACACTGTCTTGGAATAACACGGTTAATCACGAACGAAACCGCCAGATGGCCAGAGTGTCAGGTGACCGGAAGTTGATAACGCACATTCACGCGAAACTCCGAGATAGCACGTGTTTTGGTCTGTTCGTGGCTACTCATGTCTTCCCATGATTATGAGAATGGAAACAGTCTACAGGCATGAAACTGGGCGGATCATGACAGATGGAAAGGATGGTGCCGGGTCTCTACAGACCTACAGGCAGCAATCTTCGCTGGCGAAATGAATATATTTTCCCGCAGTTAGTGATTTTGAGTAAGCGATGCCTTCAGGCTTTAACCATATATCTACAGAGATTCCTCGCCCACAGATACCCTGCGGTCGTTGCTTAAGTGGGACAAAATGGTACAAGGGAGAGGAAGACGGTATGTTTTCGTTTCGAGTTACCTAAAGTGATTTACTACAACAACCTTGGACACAGGAGACCAAGTCTTGCAGTACGCATGTGCAGAGGTTCGTCCACCAGGGAGGATGCCAACTCTTTTTCGATACGCCAGATGCCAAGTTATGACATTTCGGATGCCGTGATGCGGTACGTTGGACGCCATGAAATGTTTATCTGGTACAGTATGCCAGTATTTCAGTGGTGAAATTTAGTTTTCCTCCTATGTCTTTCAAAATAAAATAAAATAAACCAAAGATTTGTAATCCCAGTCTAATTCACTACTGCCAGTTGTGTCTACTGATATGGCTCATGAGTTCTTAAACAGGACGCATGACAAATTAGGTGGCATCACGGATGCTTAAAGAGTTGGGGTTGGCACCCCCTTTAGGTTTGTACAAAAATGCAATGACCGTAGGTTCGAATTTAAGAATCGCCCTGATGTTGTTTTATTAAGGTAACTTCCCCCCGTTCTCCTCGGTTCCATTAAATTGGTAAACGTCTAATAAGTACATCCTTTAGGGCATGAATCTGACATGCTGGGATGCGGCTGAAATATGTGCGGTAAGTGGCGATAAACCAAACAGTCACAGCTTGAAGGAATTCACTATATTCAACCAATGAATATGTGCGAATATCTGAGCCCATCCCTTTGTTGATTTGAATAACAGAGTACACACCTGTCGACAGAGTGAATTTAGGTATGACGGGCGTCATCATGTGGACCCGTGAAGATCCGGGGTAGAATAGGTCTTCAGCAACCCATGCTTGCCACAAAAGGCGACTATGCTTGTCGTAAGAGGCGACTAACGGGATCGGGTGGTCAGGCTCGCTGGTTTGGTTGACACATGTCATCGGACCGCCGCCATATAGCTGGAATATTGCTGAGTGCGGCGTAAAACTAAACTCACTCATTCACTCACGTCATATTTGGTCTGAGAACTTCTAAGATGCCGGAATCTTTTGTTTAATTTAGCTTCATCAACATAGCGACCTATTTCTGTGACATTAACTGTGTCCATTATTCTCAGTCATGACGGAAATCAATGTCTCGTCAAAGCGTGAACGTCAAACATGGTCCAAGTGTGATCGTAAACCATATATCATTTACAGCTTGACAATTGTTTGTAACCATGGAAACCGAGAACACCTGTTTTGATTCGATTGAAATAGGCATACATGTTTACACAATAATGCTCTCTCCTCAGTTTATTCTTCAATAAACCTCATCGTATTCCAAACCATCAATTAATACTCGCGATAGAAATTGTGAAGTCGTACACGTGGTTTTGTACATGAGAATGTTTGTGACACGGTGGTATTTTGTGATCAATATTATTTTCGTAATGGGTAGCTCCATCCAAAAAAAAACGGGTTACGTATAAACTCGCCACTGAGCAGCAAGATGAACCGGCGTTGAAGATTATATCTAAGATTATGATTGGTTGGTTTGTTGTTTAACGTCACACTCAGCCATATTCCAGCTATATGGCGGCGGTCTGTAAATAATCGAAGCTAGACCAGACAATTCATTAATCAACAGCATGCGCATCGATCTGCGTAATTGGGATACGATGACATGTGTCAACAAAGTCAGCGAGCCTGACCACCCGATCCCGTTAGTCGCCTCTTACGACAAGCATGGTTGCTTAAGACCAATTCAAACCCGAATCTTCACGGGTCTCTGAGATTACGAAGTGTGCTTATTACCGACAATGTGTATGATATATTAAAGAGGGTAATTTGATTACTCATCCGTTGCTTCAAGTGAGCGAGGGACCGCGATTTTATGCTAATAACACTATTCCAGGCTAGCTATTCTCGAAACGTTCGTAACCCTACGAACTTCTTAAGCCCATTCTTAACACATTGGCTACGATCAAAGTTACGAACGTTTCGAGAATAAGGGCCCAGGAATAATGGCAGCAAGGTCGTGAAATGGGATGAAAATGAGTTAGTGTGGGGTGGATTAACCCAACTGCCTTCCCCTTCAAACTCCAACTGAGAATGAGAATTAATTCGTGCTGCTTTTAACAGAAAAGTATTGATAGATATTTGCACTGATTCGGATATTTTAGTTTATTACTTTTTTCGACAATTTACCAATTGTAAGGCTGGTATTGATGTTTTCAAACAGAAAAAGTAAGTGCAATTTAAGAACCTGAAATATCAAAATACATATTTCTATGTGGCCGAATGGCTACGGTGTTCAACGACATATATGAGACCCCGTTCGAATCCCCATGTTTGTCTGTAGAATGTACCAACGCGACACCATCTGTTAGATGTCTGAGGCCAACAGCTTACCCGAACAACAGCATGCGCCAAATACAGCTGTGCGCGTGACTATGAAATTAACATCTTTCAGGGAGAATCTCAAAACGTGTCTCATTTTTTAATTTATACCCCAATCTTCAAACGGCTGTTTACGTTCTGCACGTTTTCAAAATAAACAAGTTATTATTAGTCGTATGTAAACGTGGGTGTATCCACATGTGGTAGATAAATACAATAAAAAATATGTAATATATGTTACTGTTGATAACACCCCCAAAATGTGGCAGTGATATTACATGTTCTATCGTAAAAGAGGGATGTGTGGTGATTCAATCACATATCGCGTTACTCTTCAGCTGGTGCAGAAAATGAAACTGGTGATGAATAAGAAAACATCCTTCCCTCGAACATTTGCTGGAGTAACACGACTTACTGCTGAATTCCGATGCAATGCGCTGTTTTATCTCTTAAACCAGCTAGTTATCTCATCGGCAACCGTCCACGTTTTTCGCTCAAGATGGTATTACCTTTACGTTTCCTAAACGTACAGGCATAATTAGGATCCGTCTGTATTGTACTAGAGAATACTGAAAGCGGCTGTCGGAATAGTTAACCAGTTATTTGTTATGATAAACGTTAATGATATTATTTGCTCGAGTGTATCGGTACAGGGATGTATTGAAAATAAATATTGGAAATTATAACACCGTTATATTTATTCTTTTAGGTGAAAAAAATACATGGGTTGTTTTCGAAACAAATCTGTGGAATGCGGTCAGAGATATTACGAAACGCGTAGGTAGGCAATTAAAGTAGATGAAAAAGTATTGGCAGTCGAAATGTTGAAGATGGAAGTAACAGCTGTAGCTATAAGACGGGAACAACCTGTTGTATTATGAAGGCGTGAATGAATACGGTTTACAAGGCTTTTTAGCTGAGTGGAATCGAACTCGGGTCGTAAACCCTAAGACAAAACACCTTACAAACTTGGCTACCAGTCGCAGCATCGCCCATCAACTCAACTCAACTCCTGGCATTACGTTACAAAGTAATTGGAGCAGTGGGTCAGTGAGTGAGTATGGTTTTACGCCGCTTTTAGCAACATTCCAGAAATGGACTTGTAGAGAATCGAACCAGGGCCTTCAGCGTGACGAGCAGACGGTTTAACCATTAGGCTACCCCACCCCGTGCTTTACGTGCCATGCTGAACGCCAGGGTCCCGCTTCACAAACCTTCGTAGCGCTACGAATGCTTGGTGGATCGGGACCAAGGTTCGAATCCCCACGCGGGTACAGTTTGTGAAATCTATTTGTCTCCTTCATGAAGTTGCTGGAATATTGCTAAAAACAACGTGAAAACGTACTCAATCCCTTCAAAATCCAAGAAACACCTCTGAAAGTGACACGCCTTTGGGAACTTGCATGCTTTTTCGCTCCTCAACGTCCTGCACGTGCGTCGCCCTCCCACGAGTACACCGTGTTGTTCGTGATAATTGTTAACCTGGACACGTGGAGTAGTGCAAAGTGCGGTGCAATTATCGCCCGGATGTTTGAGTGGCTACCGATGCTGTTTATATTTCACAGTTACATTAATCGATATTTCATGTTTCCGATACGTCAAGGTCTGTTGTGTTCTGTCTCTTCGCACGATTTCAAAAGAATTTGCGGCCCCAGTGAAACGTACCTTGAGTGACCATTGAGTACATTTCCGGGACAGCTGGTAAATTTAAAATTTAAAAAAAGAGATGTTTTATTTTTTTTTAAATAACCGAAACACAAAAATGTTACTAAGCGTGGGTTGATATACTGTCGGTGCCTTAGCTGAATATAAAACTTGAAAGCCAGAAAGAAATTAGCCTCGGCCATTCGGTGGTTTAAACGAAAAATCTGAATGAATCATGGAAAACCTTTGTTGACATCAGGTGTTCGCCATAGGAAAAGCACGCCTGTCATATCGTTAGCACTGGCCATCCATAGAATCTGCTTAATGAAATATGTGTTAGTCTGTTGCTTGACTTACACCAGTGGTCATTCCACTGAACGGCGGTCACTAGACAATGCCTGAGTTGGCCGGGGTCATTTTGTTCGTTGTTTAACGCCGTACTCAGCAATATTCCCGCTGTATGGCGGCGGTCTGTAAATAATCGAGTTTAGACCAGACAATCCAGTGATCAACAGCATGAAAACCGATCTAAGCAACTGATGATACGTGTCAACTAAATCGGCGAGCCTGACCACCCGATCCCATTAGTCGCCTCATATGACAAGCATGGTTTGCTAAAGATTCGAACCCAGATCTTCTACTGCCTGAGTAGGCAATCAAGTGATAAGTGAACGAGACAATCAGGTGACACATTACTGTATTCATTGATTTTCTTGAAGCTGAAAACGATACCTTAATTTTAAATAACTTATACAGCATACAAGTTCAGAGATTCTGCTTTCTACGGAATAAAGAAATAAACCAATTTAAGAAACAAGTGCTATTCCACTGAAATAGCAGCGCAACAGATTTTATTTTCCTCCCAAATAAAATCCAATACAATAGGGTAGAAACAGGTGGTCATGTAGCGCCACCATACATCACAAATATATACATACACCATGAGCTAGATTTAGTCCCTTGTCACAGGATTGTCATAGGATTAATCCTTATCTCTTTCAACGTTGATCAGTTAATGGTCGAAAAACGCGCGTACGTCAGACGCTGAGGGATCGGTTAATGTGCCCGGAACGTCTATGATATTGCCTGCGTGTGTACGACAGTGACTGTGGAACCACGGCAGATACTCGTACTCTGGTAAATGGCACTGCTAGGCGAAAGTTCTTACGAAACCAAAATAGAATTCAATTTTACATTTGGGACTGCCAACT